ATCACAGAAAAATGTGGATTTTGGGTTACTTTTTAAAATTTGAAAATAATGATTTTTATCAGAGAAAACCATCACTAAGACTAAGTCTTTCTTTACCTAGCTTCTCACTTAAGTGCTTCCACAATCTATTATCTTCATAAAACCTTGACACATTCCCCCCATCCTTCACTTTAAAGTCTTCTCCTCCTGTATCCCCTCCCTAAGTCTACTCAGAGCCATGTGCAATGTTGCACACGCACATATATATATGGCTTCCTTATGTTCAGAGCTACAAAAGTCCTCTTCCATGTCTTTATTTCTACATGCACTGATTATTTCAATTCTTTCATACATAGACTACTCAAGTTTCAGCTCCCCAGACTACAGCCTGTATAGAATACTGTTGCCCCCCAGTCTCATATTAACCAAGAAGCACTGGCACATTAATTTAATCCCCAGACACCTTCCTATGTTGTTTCAGGCTCCAGTTAAATATTTCCTGCCCTGCTTCTTCATACCATTGTGCCAGTTTTACATTGGTATAACTCTGCTTTTCCACAGAGGAGTACTGTACTTCTTTTCTTATGGATTCAAACTCCATCCACTGCCATTTGCCACAAATGTAAACCTGTTTCTTAGTGCCATGGAAGAAAGAGAGAGAGAACAATTTTAAGTAGTGTATTAGATGAGGATATACTAGGCTGATGAGTATTATATAGGTACCTGGATGGGCAGAGTTTTAAATTAAATTAACAACCCCCCCCCCAAAAATTTAGGATTGTGGACAGTTCAGTGAGATTGCTTAATGTGCAACTGCAATATGTTATGTTATGATGTCTGAAGAATGGGAAGGGAAATATGACAGGGTTTTTTTAGGTTGTTTTTTTTTATCTTGTGCAGCGTCTCCTACTAGAGTCTGTCACAGACAAGATACTAGACCACACAAACTATGTGTCTAATTCAGCCTGATAATTCCTTAATTCCTAAATTAAATTTTGATTAATGAAAGACTCCATTCACTTTTGTACCAGGTTTGGTTCTCCTGTCTGCTCACTCCTTTTCTGAGAAGCTTCAATTCAGGAAAACAGCTTTTATGAAGTGGCTTAATATATTCTTTTTGTATTTGTAAGCTTTTTACTTTGGCTCTAACAGATATCAGGTTGAAACCAGCATTTCATCAACTGAGAATTCTTCTTCAAGCATGCCTCTCTGCCTTGCAAGTAATGGCCAGTCTTCTATCCCTATGGAGAAACCATCAGGAGGTGCAGTTCTTTCTGTTTTGTTTTGTTTGTGGCTTTTATTTCTTTTGTCAAATATTTTTGTAAGTTTTAAATGAACTGGATGTTGATATTAATGCTTTCTTCAGGGTCATAGGTTAGGGATAAAAATTATAGAGGTTAGGTAGTTTTCCAGGCCTTGGAATATTCTCCAGTTGGAGATTCTAGAGACAAAAGTTGGCCTGTATGCAGTTCTTACAG